GGGCCTGGACGGCTATCCAACCCCCGTCGCAAACGCCTGACGTGCTTAACCTAACGCTTATTCAATGGTAAACTGCTGACGTGCTCCAAACCTAAGCCAAAAAATAACTTCAACAAACATGGTAAATGCCAGACGTGCTTAACCCTAACGCCTATCGGCGCAAATACCTGACGTACCGTACTTAACTCAACGCCTATCGATGCAAACGCTTATTCAATGGTTAACTGCTGACGTGTTCCAACCCTAACCCCAAAAATAACTTCAACAAGCACGGTAAACGCCTGATGTGCTTAACCCTAACGCATATCGGTGGAAACGTCTGACGTGCTTAACCGTAACACCAGGAATATAAATGGGGAGTTACCCCCTGCGCTGATTACCGGCAGAAACATTTTAGACTCAATGACCAGGAAAAACAAAGCGCTTTGTAACCGAAAGGAATAGGTCTATATCAAAATACGAACTATAAACTAAACTAAACTTTGGCTCATATAAAGGTGGCATTAAATAGGTAGACAATTGCATAAGGATATACAAATAGAAATTTAAGTCGAGGAGAAGCAAAAGCATAAACATGCTGCCATCGGTAAGGTGTGGTTTTCTAGAGAAGTGTTAAATGTAGAATAGGTTTCATTTTTTAGGTTTATTGATTATCCATCCAAGTATAGTTTCAGCAACAGCAGATGCGTTAGTAGTAGTTCCTTTTGTTTTGTATATCTGTTTTATGGTTATATCTATAATATTATGTAATGTAACATATGCTGATTGATTTGAAATAGGCCTACTATATTTTTAATATATTTGCTGCAACGGCGACAACAGGAACAACTGTGGCGTCGGGGGCGTCAACAGCAACGACAACAACAACTAGATAATATTACTAACTCTGCAAATTGGCGACGTACACAGTATTATTGTGCATAATTTGGCGACGTTTAATCGGTTTTCTATGATGAATTATGTATTTAATTTTCGAATATTGGTTTGAAATATAATGCAATATAAAAAAGTGATGCTATTGCATGTGCTTAAATAATTTATATAGATCTAGGAATTTTTGTACTAAGGAATATATTTTTGATTGAGTAGCAAGCAACTACTTTTATTATTGTAGGTTACGAACCATTTCATGTGTTATCATCGTAAACAAATAGATGAACTAATATTATTGGTTGTGTCTACAATAAACGGGATATCCTAGTCGACATAACGTTGCGCAGATTTGAGCAATTTCAACAATCTTTTCTAGAAATACTAGCAATGCTGAGCATAATTTGGATAGTTCTCGTTACGGTTCCCGTAAGCTCAGGTAGGAAATGATAATGTTCGCACTGTATTGCTTTCCTAGACGTAGATCAACATAGACTAGAAAACCTTGATGTTCTCCAAACCCACACTCGCACAACTCATTGGCGGGGCCAGACTGTATACATATATAATGCAAGAATAAGCATATGCCTAAACGATTTTGAAATTATCAACATGTTTTTTAATACAAAAGTCAAATATATTGTATATCGGTCTAGAACTTCAATAAAGTATTTTAGTGCATTTCCTTGACTCGGATATATTAACTGTTCATGCCCTGGCACAAAATTACGTGACTTTGCAAAAAAAAAATATATAGTTTATATTACAGTTATTACAGTTCTGTAATAACTGTAATATATAGTTTATATTACAGTTATTACAGAACATAAAACATTAGATAAACTGAAGGTCGATATTGTATGATAGAATTACACAAAGTATACCAGTATGTAGTTTTAGTTTGTTAAAAGGCTGTATGTGGACAATCGGCGAGTCAATTGGCAAGGAGATCCTTACCGGCGTTGGTTCGAGCGGCACTCTCCTCATTGTCCTACTGTCTATGAATAAAATGTGCTATATCAAGTTTAAATTTTACATTTACATCTTACAAGTATGCGAATGGTGTTCATATTCATAATTCTACAGATGCGGTTAATGATGAGGCTATACTAATAGGGAAACTACTAGATAACTACAATCAGCCAACTGCGAGGCCCGTCTTAAATTACTCTGATGTTATCGTCGTAACATATCGTTACTTTCTTACACGTGTCGTTGAATTGGTGAGTGGTACACAATGCTTTATATAGACAATGGAATAAGATACTGTCTGTCATTAAATACACAATAGTTGAGATGAGTATTCAATTGATCTTTTATATCCATGGAATTAGGCTGGTTCCCCTTGGACATCCCCCTCCCCCGGACATTGACCCCTGTGACATTAGTCCCGGTCTTTTTTCTCCCCAGACTTCTTCACCTCCTCCCCCATCCATTAATAAAACAATAATTTAGATTTACATTATCTCTGTTATTAAATCTTAATAGCCCAAATGCATGCACAAGTAACAACACGACTTACATGATATCTTCTTTTTATTACTCAATCTTTCTAGATTAACACAAATTTTGTGTAAACATACTGACAACATGGACAATATTTATACAAATGTAAGCGATAAAATATCTAATATCAAGGTTATTACATTTGCTGAGCTCTTTATAGTTATTTAAAATACAATTTTGATACAAAGCTATTGAAGACACGGATTGTAAAAATTACACCCTATAATCATAGCACTTTTTGAAAGTTAGATCTCTGCAATTCCTGTTGCTATTACATTACTATTACTACTACCAAACTGTTACTAATTTACTTTCAGTCTTGATACTAAGGAATATCGTACTACTTCCTTAAAATTAAGTAAAATAAAAAAATTAAATATATTGTAAATTAAACTGTATAGGGAAAATGTCACAGGGGAAAAAAGTCACGGGGGGGGGGGGGTCCAAGGGGAAACCAGCCTGCTCCCACTTCAGGTGAGTCGATAACTATCCTATGGATCTTGACATCCTCAGTGAACCTATTTTTCCAAATTATAATCACCTTTACTCCATCTGAATATTTTTCTATATATTGTTATGCATTCTTTAGTTTATAATTCATGAGTATTGTGGTGGATGCGTATGAATACATTGGGCTTATTCGACTGGTTCATTTCGTTGAGTACGAATTTTCGTTGAGTATTATTTCCATTCGACTGGTTCGTTAAATAGACTTCGTTGACAACGAAAATTAACCAGAGTGCGTTAATCAGCGTTAAGTTATCCACGTGACCAAAAATCCAAAAAAAAAAAAACATGGCCGATTGGTGAGTTTATAAACAACACTTGCGTTAATACAACTTAGATTAAATTTCATAAAAGAAAAATTATAACATTTACCCACGTACATAGAGTCAAAAAATAATTTTAGGCTAACAGAATTCAAAAACTGGATGAAAATATTATTTTTTGCGAAAAACCATACTACCACAAGTTGAAGCAATCTTGATTACGCAACGTGTATCGCGATAACTATACAACCATTTTGTTTTGTCGAGTATTTACAAGTTTTCTATTCGACTGGTACAGTATGGTCGTCTTCGTTGAGTAGGATTTTACCGCTGCGCAGGTGGGCGTGGTTTAACGAAGAACGACCATCGAATACGGCCATTATATTCTTTAAAGAAAATGGTTTACATGACTGAACTCATACTAACTTTATAATTCAAATGCAAATGGACACATAACTGTACAACCAGCTTTAAAATTACTCCAACTACCGTACTCGCGCGAATAAGCGCCCGTTTGAATAACCGCCCCTTTTAACGTGAAAATTTCCTTAAGCGCCCCGTTTGAATAATATCATAAGATTTTCTTTTTAGCAAGTCAATAATCCAATTAATTCTGGGACTGTGGTTTTGACATGTGAGATGGAGAGAGGAATCACATTCTTCTAAGGTCAATATCAAAATGAGGATATTTCTCTCGGACAGATGAGATCTCCGATCCCTACACAGACAGTATATTTCCAACTTTCCTCTTACATATTTGTCAGCCGATGGCCAACAAGCTAACCACTACCCACCGCCACTAATTGCATCTGCTATTTTGCTGTTATGTAAATATTCACAGCATTCTTGTCATGAGCCATGTTCTCTGGACTATTACCTTTTCCGCCTAACTACCATTCGTCCTTATCTTTTTTCATTCAAAAAGTGCCCGGCTCTTGAAGTTAATAAGTTCCCACAAGAACCCCTCGATTTTCATCTATTTCCATAAGAGCCCCCTCAATTTCCACTCTGTTTTCATAAGCGCCCCGTTTAAATAAGCGTCCCGTTTGAAGAGGGCCCTCAGAAATTGCAAAAAATATTTTAAGTGCCCGGGCGCTTATTCGCGCGAGTACGGTAATTCGTTTTGGGTGGCTTCTAGTTTATGTTTGTGAAACATAATCTAGTTTATGTTTGTGAAACATAATCCATAGTACAGTATAGTAAAGGCGGAACCAGGCTGAACTAAAAAGTCCTTGTGATTTCTTGCTAATAAAATGGGATTGACGCCAAAGATATTTTTTTTATATACGAGGGTAAGCTCGTTTTTGGAAACATGTTCATCAATGAGTTCCTGTATATTTGAAACAAGTTAATAAATCACAATAAATCGACCTTTACACTAGGGTGTTTTAATGAATTAACATGTTTAAATTTTCGTTTTGAATTAAGTAAGATTAATTTTGTTAGCCATTCATAACATGATGGTAATTTTTTACTTTCAACTTGTTTTTTTATTGGTGTGTTTCAGGACGAAAGACGTCAATTTTTAACAGTTAAAGGGCGGATGTTTATGGTAAGTCTGACTCGAGGCGACAGTTGGTTTATTCGTTTCACTAATACTTGGATTAATAATGCCATTTTTACGTGTATTCATTTAGACTTGGCAAGATCAACTTATGGTATGGAACGCCTCAGAGTATGGTGGAATAGACACAATTAAAGTTCCCCAATACTCAATCTGGATGCCAGACATAACACACTATAACAAGTAAGCAGATTCTATTTAGTAATCTTATTTTGAAAGCACATTGCATACATTTTCCCTATACATTTTAATTTACAATACATTACATTTTTTTTATTTTTACTTAATTTTAAGGAAGCAGTACGATATTCCTTAATATCAAGACTGAAAATAAATTAGTAAAAGTTTAATAGTAGTAAAAGTAATGCAATATCAACAGGAATTGCAGAGATCTAAATTTCAAAAGATTACAGATAGGTCTGCTCTTTTGGTAATACATTATAAGAAAAATAAAGGTTTTTTGCCGTCGAAAACCGAATGTTTCTATAGCCGTTCGGTATCTCAAAAGAGCTATGAGCTACTGTATAATATACTACACAAATAACTGATATAACTTTATTAATAAAAACTTATCTTTGTATACAGCGTATTTCATTTGTGCTGATATAAATGTTCCATCTCTTCTAAAGTCATGCCTCTCTGTGATTCCCCTTTTTCACAGCATGGACGTTGGTTTCGAACGCACCAAGACGAATATTCCATTATCCATTACTTCAGATGGTTTTGTTACTATGGCAACACCGGCCATTTATACCACGTTCTGCAAAATGAATGTGAAGTATTTTCCATTCGACAAGCAAGTTTGTAATTTTAAGCTTGGATCTTGGACTTACGGGAGGCACCAGGTTGACTTGAAGATTTTAGATGGTGCCGAGGCCAACCAGGACTACTTCTTCGAGAATGGTGTTTGGGGCCTAGATTTTGTCTATTTTAAAAAGAACGTTGTTCATTACCCTTGGTGTCGACATCAACACGTTCATATTACAATGACAATTGGTTTAAACCGTCACTCTGTATTCTATGTCGGAAATATTCTAGCACCTTCTATTTTGCTTTCATTTCTAGCAGCATTTGTATTCTTCTTACCGCCAGAATGTGGGGAGAAAATTTCGTTTTCCATCACAAATTTGCTTGCAATTGTGTTGTTCCAACAACTGATCGCCGAGACATTACCCCCATCTGACGAAACCCCTTATCTTGGTGAGTTTAACGATTTTGATTATCCTCCATTACAATTCATTTGATGTTTGTCAACATAGAGGACGATGAAGCAAATTGAAATACTGTAACATGAAAATGAAATTAGTTTTACAAGGTGAATAATTGCCTGAGGCTAAATTACAAAATATAGACTTTCTATATATGAAAGTCATGTAGGTAAGTATATGGTCGTATTCAGGCCCATACGCAGGATTTTATTGGGTAGGTGCGAATTTGTAGAGATTAGACTAAAATTGGAGGGGGAGCTTAGGGGGCTGTCTCTTATACACATCTAACCATTTCATGTGTTATCATCGTAAACAAATAGATGAACGCGGAGCTCAGGCATTTTTTATAATTTTAGGTCTTAGTTAATCGATTTCTGAAGATGCATATACGGTTTTCAGTGGCGGATCTAGAAATTTAAAGAGGAAGCCAGGGGGGGATTTTTACAGATGGAGGAAATATCACCTCAGCCCACCATGGTTGAGGCTGAGGGAAAAAAATTTATGACCATGGCACCTTCAAAATGGCCAGAAATTGCACTCTCATACTATTTGAATATCATTTTCTTTTTCCCAATTTTTTTAAAATTTCTGTTTTATTTTTAAAAATTGAGGGTGAACTAGATTCAGTTGGGCTTCTTGAACCCCCCCCCCCCACTGTCAGTGGCGGATTTATGAATTTGATAAAGAGGTGGACAATCGAAGGACTTTACAGTTTAAAAGTCCATGACACCTCAGCCCCACCATGGTTGGGACTGAGGTAAGAAAATTTATGATTATGGCACCTCTATATGGCTGGAGATGGGGTGGCGCTTGGGGGAACCCTGCTGCTGCGATCGATCGGTTTTAGTGGCGGATCTAGGCATATGATGAGAGGCCAAGGAGGGACTTCATAGATGGGAAATACCACTGAGAGGGAAGGATTTTACAGATTGAGAGCAATGCAGTAGCCAGCTATTGGGACAGTTGGGACAGTCCCACACAATTTTTCTAATGGGTCCACATTTTAAAAATTGGTCCAAATTATGCTATTTCATGCAAAAATTAGTCCACTTTATGAAAAATAGGTACAGATTTCGCTTATTTAGCCTAAAATTGGTAAAATTTTAAGAAACTGGGTCCACATTATTTGAATTTACGTGTGAAGTGGGTCCACCCTGATATTGTCCCGCAATGTTTGAAAATATTGGCTAGGGCATTGATTGAGTGTTGATAACACCACAGCCCCACAATGGTTGGGGCTGATGTAAGAAAATTCATGATTATGGCACCTCTAGACGGCCGGAGATGGCACTCTTAGACATAAATTTGAATATAAATTTCTTTTCTTTTTAAAAATAATTTTGACAAATTGGGGTTGGGGGTGGTGATTTTTTAATTTTCTACCCTCGAAAATTTGGACCTTTGGTAATTTGTAGGGGAGTGCGTCCCGACGCAAATAAATGAATGAATGAATGAATGAATAAATAAACAAACTTAAAATAAAATAACACACAGAAAAATTCATCTTCCAAATGTAAAAATTAATTTACCAGTTTCATTTGCAGTACTTTCTCTTAAGGCTTTTTTTTTTTCCTATTTTACAGAAAGT